TCTCTCTCTCTCTCTCTCTCTCTCTCTCTCTCTCTCTCTCTCTCCCTCTCCCCCTCTCCTTGAGACAGGGTTTCCTCAGTGTAGCATTGGCTTTCCTGGAATTCTGTAAACCAAGCTGACCTTGAACTCCAAGATCTGCCTGCCTCTGCTTCCCAAGTGCTGGGATTAAAAGTTTGTGCCACCACCGCCTGGCCTTGATTCAGCTTCTTAATAATGCTAGAATTTCTTATGAATTTAGCATGACCGTTTTAAGTGCCTTGGGTGTTTTGGGACAGGCTAATATACTGACAGTAGGAGAGCAAATGTCATATGTGTAAACCTTTTTTTTTTTAACTATTTGAAATTGTTGCAGCTATTTCAAGATTATTCAGAGTGCTTTGTTAATTTGCATAACTGATGACATTTATGTTTTTAACGTGACATTTTTTATTTTTGTAGATAAAGTGGAGAATTTTAGTGAAGAACATGAAAAAAATAGTCACCATTTTCATAAAAATGCTGAAGATAGTACTAAGAAACCCAACACAGAAACAGCAGTGGCTTCTGAATATAAAGCTGATGAAATTAAGGAAACAAATGATACTTGGAATGTCCAGTCTGGGAAAAGGTCAGAGTCGCCGGCTGAAAGTTGCCCAGTCAAAGGATCTGTAAGAACTGGTTTATATGAGTGGGATAACGATTTTGAAGATAACAGATCAGAAGACTGTATTATGAATTTGGATAGTGATTCTCTTTTGGAGATGAAGGATGAGGATTTAAAAAACCGATTGGAAAATATAAATGAAGCCATTGAAGAAGATATTATACAAAGTGTTCTTAGGCCCAGCAACTGTAGGACGTACTGTAGGGCCAATAAAGCGAAATCCTCACAGGGAGCATCAAATTTCGATAAGCTAATGGATGGCACCAGTCAGGCTTTAGCCAAAGCAAACAGTGAATCAAGTAAAGATGGCCTGAATCAGGCAAAGAAAGGCGGTGTAAGTTGTGGGACCAGTTTTAGAGGAACAGTCGGACGGACTAGAGATTACACTGTTTTACATCCATCTTGCTTGTCAGTTTGTAATGTTACCATCCAGGATACAATGGAACGGAGTATGGATGAGTTCACGACATCCACTCCTGCAGACTTAGGAGAGGCTGGCCGGCTCAGGAAAAAGGCAGACATTGCGACTTCCAAGACCACTACTAGATTTCGACCTAGTAATACTAAATCCAAAAAGGATGTTAAGCTTGAATTTTTTGGTTTTGAAGATCATGATGAGACAGGAGGTGATGAAGGTGGCTCTGGAAGTTCTAATTACAAAATTAAATATTTTGGCTTTGACGATCTCAGTGAAAGTGAAGATGATGATGATGACGACTGTCAAATGGAAAGAAAGACAAACAAAAAAAGAACTAAAACAACTCCGTCACTTTCCCTGCAGCCTCCCCCTGAAAGCAGCGACAATTCCCAGGATAGTCAGCCTAGTACTAATAATGCAGGTAAGAACTGTAAGATGTGTATATAATAGGGTAATATGTATTTAATAGATGATTTCTTTTTAGGCTTTAATCAAAGTTTAATTCTTCCCTAGATTCCTAGTATTAGTTTGTTTATATTTATATATATATATATATATATATAATTTTTTTTCAGTATATGTAGGTGTATGCCTACATGTGTGTATATGCATGTGAATGCAAATACCCTCTGAGACCAGAGAGACATAAGTATCCTAGAGCTGGAGTTAGGGATGTAAGCTGTGTGACCTTGGTGCCCAAAACCGAACTCAGATCCTTTGGAAGAGCTGCAAATTCTCTTACCACTGAGCCATCTCTCTAGCTTTAGTGTTATATTACACTTTAGTAGAAACTTCTTCTTAGAACCTGTACATTGCGTTATGCAAAGCTATAGTATTTTACATGTAAATTTTTAGATCTTAACTTATGGTAGACTGGGAGTCTTACATGTTTTACATCAGTGACTAGCATTTAAGGTTTTTGATTTCAGATTGGGTTCCAAACTAGGGCCTCACACATAATAGGCAAGTTCTCCCACTGAAATATAACCCTGGGCCTGCACCTGTAAATTTACGTGAGAATTTTAAACTGCTCAGTCTTTGGGACAGAGATACCAAACATCTTGGTTTAGGTTTGAAAATCCAAATGTAGTGGAGACATAAGGATAGATTTTGGACATTTAGAACTGTACTGGTAACAGATGGTTTTAATAAGGGAAATACTCAAAAGAAATTAATTAAACCTTTTGTAAGTAGCACAAAACTAAAAAAAAAATTTTTTTTTGGAAACACTCTTAAATTGTGGTTTTATAAGATTGAGAAGTACGCTGGGCAGGTGACTCTCTGTGAGTTAGAGGCCAACCTGGTGTACAGAGTGAGTTCCAGGACAGCCAGGGCTACACAGGAATCTTGTCTGGGAAAAACAAAACAGAAGATTGAAAAGTACTAGGTAAATATTCTCTTTTAATAATGAAAATTTTTCTCTTTAGATTGTAGGCCCAATGATAAGGTTCTCTAAGGAGTTGAATCTCTAGTGAGAGATAGATACAAATACACTAGGTAGCTCTGCTATAATTAAGCCTTTATTTGACAAGGGCTGTGTGTAGAGGATTCACTGTTTAGTGAGGAAGAACTTGTGAAAGCTACTGGTCCTTTCAGTCGAATAAATCTTTTCTATATTGCTTTAATTGTTTCAAAAAAGAATCTTTGTCCTGCTAAGTTTGTAATTGTGGTGAATTAGAATTTCCATTGTATTTGTGAGTTTAGATTCTTAAATACAGTATATCATATTTGACACTACCTGCTACTTAGCTTTTTTTCTGACCTAGAAATAGTTTGCTTGATTAGAATTACTATTTCTTTTGTTGGGGGTGATTTATACACTAGAGATAGCTCTACCACTGAGTTACACTCTCATCCCAGATGAGATTGATCCTTTGTTTTAAACTGGAATTAAAGCAGGAGCTTCTAGAGCCTCTTTACCCTCCAAAGAAGTATAGTCAACGTTTATCCAGTGTTGTCATCAGCCTCTGGAGAAGATCGCAGTTTGCAGCAGCTTTACTAGACACTTGAGATGGGGACATAATACTGTGCAGTACCTGCACTCATGTCCTGCTGCAGTTTATTTGACATTTAGGCTCAGTTATATAGGAAGTAATTTTTCTTATTTGCAGTTTAGAATCTGTTTTTACATCTTGGAATAATACAACTTTAATTCTGAAATGTGAAAAATAGGCTTACTTTGAGAAATGAAGTTGGCATTGAATGTTTTAAAACTAGAGACCACTTGGATGAGAAATACCAAGTTGCAATTGAATCTTGATATAATGTGTGAGCCAGTAATCATTTTTAAAAGTTGAGGTTGGAGTGGCTAGAGAGATAGCTCAGAGATTAAGAACACTGACTGCCCTTCCTGAGGTCCTGAGTTCAATTCCCAGTAATCACATGGTGGCCCACAACCATCTATAATGAGATCTGGTGCTCTCTTCTGGCCTGCAGCTTACATGCAGACAGAATACTGTATATATGATTAATAAATAAATCTTTAAAAACGAAAGTTGAAGTGGAGAAATGTCTTCCCTTCTATGTTAGAAGAAAATGTTTATAACCTTTTAGGAAGTAATCTAATTCTTTAGTAGTTTTATGTGAAGACTCATAAGTTATTGAACTGCATTGTATTAGCCAGAAATCTTTGTTATTTTGTTTTCCTCCTGACTCAGCTCCCAAGTGCTGGGATTATAGGCCTGTTGCACCACACCCAGAGATTTTGCATTTTAAAATTTATTCCTTTCTGGGACTGGAGAGATGGCTTAATAGTTAAGTGTGTTTGTTGTTCTTGCAGAGGGCCTGGTTTCAATTCCCAGCACCCATTTTGTGGTTCACAGGGGAATCTGATGCCTTTTCATTTCTGCAGGCTCCCAGGCAAGCATGTGGTTCACATCCATGCATGTAGGCAAAACACTCAAATGCATAAAATTAATCTAAAAAATTTTAAAAGTGGTTATCTTTGTAGAAGTCAGCAGCCTCTTACTCAGCTTGAACAATGTCTTTGACTTTTGAGAGCCACACCAAAAGTTACTTATCTTGCATCAGAGCACTCTATACCCCCAACTATTACAAATGGGCATTGGAATTATTACAGTGGGTATTGAAAGCATGCAGCGTTGAGGGAAGACCACCTGGATTTGGATTCTGGCTCTGTTATATCCACCTAATTGGCTTCCAGCAAGTATTGTTTTAAGGCAACATGATTTCATGAACTTAAAATATAGAAAAATGTAAAACTTAGATAATATTTGATACTTATATGAGTTTGTATAAATTATATATCGAGCATCTGTATATATCATGCAGTTGTGATCTGTGAAGTTCAAATTTTATTTTGGAAAAAATTTTAAGCCAGGCATGGTGTTGCATGACTGTAATTTCAGTATTTGGGAATCTGAAGCAGGGGTATTGCCATGAGTTTGAAGCCAGTTTGGGATGTAGAGTGAATTCCAGACCAGCCTACAAAGGACCATTCTTAGTAAAAGAAAATATCTGGCTTTTCTTTTAACACAAAATAAAACTAGAATACATGTGTAACAGGTAGGTTTTGAAGTAGAGGGTGGGGGTTACTTTTTCAACCATTATTCCTCTGAATCTTTCATTCACACCCCACCCCAAATATTACGTTTAAAAAATGGCCTTAAGTTTTCTGATAACTTGAAATACTGGAAAGCTAGCTAGTTTTGATTACCATTTCAGAAAACTTGGATTTTGCAGAGGACTTGCCTGGTGTGCCTGAGAGTGTGAAGAAGCCCATAAATAAACAAGGAGATAAATCCAAGGAAAATACCAGAAAGATTTTTAGTGGCCCCAAACGGGTAAGTAAAGCTCTGTTATTGGTGATTATTTTATTCATTTTTCATTAGTGGGCTCATGTCTTAGAGTTTCTGTTGCTATGAAGAGACACTATGACAAATTTAATTGGGGGCTAACTTACAGTTCAGGGGTTCAGTCAATTCTCATCATGGAGAGTCATGGTAGTGTATAGGCAGAAATGGTGCTGCTGAGGTAGCTGAGAGTTAATACATCTTGTGCAGGTAATAAGAAGTGGTCTGAGACACTGCACTTGTTTTGAACATATATGAGACCTCAAAACCCACCACCCGCACAGTGACACACTTTATCCAGCTGGGCCATACCTGCTCCAACAAAACCACACCTCCTAAAGCCTAAAGTGGTAGTGGCGCACGGAGACAGAGGCTGGTGGGTCTCTGAGTTTAAGGCCAGCCCTGGTCTATGAAGCAAGTTTCAGGACAGCCAGGACTACATACAAAGAAATGTTGTCGTGGCGCGGTGGGACGGGGGAGGGATCAGACAACACATCAGATTGAACATTTTAAAGTCAGGGATTCTTCTGTGAGCCTGTCTTTTTGAATCTCTTTCTCTTTTTTCCCCAGTTCTTACAGTCAGACGATTGTCCAGCCTTTTCAGTAACAGCAAACTATTTTGCATTCCATTTTATATTCTTAGTAGCAGTGTGCAGGCTGTATCAATTTCCCCCATTTACTAATTAGAAGCTTTTGTAGGCTAGGTGTGGTGGTGCTTGCCTTTAATCCCAGCAGCTGAGAGGCAGAGGCTGGCAAATCTTTGTGAATTTGAGGCCAGCCTGGTCTACATAATCTACATAGTGAGTTGAAGGCCAGCGAAGGATACATAGTGAGATCCTGTTTCAAAAAAATGTTACCATAATAGCTATGGAATAGTTATGCTTTAATCTTCATTTCTATAATGACTACCGAATTAGAAAACTCTCTGCATATGCTTATTAGTTTTGTGTGTGTGTGTGTATGTGTGTATCATGTATTTGTATGTTTTCATATGGGTGTGTATGCATGTACCTATGAATGCCTGAAGATTGTATTAGGTATCTTCTCTGTTGTTCCCTACCTTGTTTTATTTGAGATAGTATCTCACTCAACCTGGAGTTCTCAGATCCAGCTAAACTTCTTCTGGCCAGCAAGGCCCAGGAATCCTCCATTCTCTACTTTTCCAGTGTTAGGATTACGAGCATGTATTGCCTGTCAGCTTTTATGTAGGTGCTGGAATTGATCTTAGGTGGTTACACTCATATGGCTATTTCCCTAGCTGCACTTGTCTGTGTTTTGAGAAATGTCTAGTTGAGTCTTCCTTTTTTTAAATTGAGGGTTAATTTTTTTTAATGTTTAGTTGTAGTTTGGTAGATTTCTCAAAAAATTAAAAGTAGAACCACTGTATGACCTACTTGTCTCACTCCTGCACATACACAAAGTACTGCATATCCTGCTATGCAGATATTTGTATCCCATATTCTGTTTTATTTACTGTAGCAAAGGATTTGAAAGAAGCCTGGTTGTCCATCAAAAGATGAATGGATGTTTGGGGTGTATGTGTGTGTGTGTGTGTGTGTAAAGTGGAATACTATTCAGCTGTAAAGAAAAATGTAATAAAAATTTGCAGGAAAATGGATGGACTTAGATTAGAATGTGTAATATTAGCTGAGGTCATACAATCTCATGTAAATGTCTAATTCATATTCTGTTTTTATCAGAAGTTCTCAGAATGTCTTTTAATTCCCTTCCCCACACTTTCCAACTAGAGCCTTTTATCAACTTGGTTCTTAAGTATACCTTATTTAAATAGATTCTTATTTAAAATAATCCCTTTCACTTATTAGGTGACTGTGATATTTGTCTTTAGGGCTGTTCTATATTTAGAAGTTCTCTATAATCTCCTTGATATTTAATTTGCTTCACTATTGGCTTAGGAATCTGTAAATTAATAAATCTATATCCTGGATTAGATTTAGGTTAAACTTTTTTTTTCATTTTGCAAACCTTGCTTGATAATAATTGTGTTTGTTTGCATTTGAAGCTGTATATTTTCTGGTTATTCCACTTTTAATCTATCTTCAATTATACCTCCACCTACTTTTCCACAGTATGGGGGATTGAATCTAGGGCCCTGTATATGCATTCTTGGCCTTTAATATTGTTTAAACAACTAACAAAAGTTGGGATCATTAGCTTTGGTCAAAACAAAGACACATTTTTTTCCTTTTATAATTTAATTAGGTCTTTTCTGACATTTTGGGTTTTTTTTCAGGTTTTATTATTTTATTATTATTATTAAAAATTTTCACCTCTTCCAAACTTTTAAGATAGCAATTTCATGTTTCCCCCATACCTAGAGATGCAGTCATGTTTATCAAACCGTTGCAGCACAATAAGCCTATTGCACTAGCTTTATATTTTTTGTTTTTTTATGTATTTAGTTATTTATTAAAAATTTCTACCTCCTCCCCGCCTCCCTTTTCCCTCCCTCTGACATTTTGTGAATATCTTATTCTGCATTGTATCTTTTAACTCGTTTGCATCTAGTATTGAACATTGTCTTAGTTACCGTTTATTGCTGTGAAGAGACACCTTGACTAAGACAATTTGCCGAAAGAAGTATTGAACTGGGAACTTGCTTACAGTTTCAAGAGTTAGTTCATTATCATTGTGGCTGGGAGGGTAGCAGCAGGTGGGCAGGAATGATGCTGTGGAAGCTAAGATCTCATATCTGATCCACAAGTTGCAGGCTTAAAAAAGGGGGAGGGAGAAGAGAGGGAGACACACACAAACTTGAATTTTCAAAGCTCACTCCAGTCATAACACCTTTTCTAAGGTCATACCTACTCCACAAGGCCATTTTTCCTAATTCTTCCTAAACTGTTTTCCTGGTAACTTACATGTCCAAGTGTATGAAACTGTTGATACCATTCTTAAACCATCACAAACCCTATCACCATCTTTTGTTACACTAACAGTTGCTGACTGGTGAAAATTTTCAAATTGTTTCATCTGCACTTAGTATAGTGTAATAGTCTCTCCTCATTGACACATTAAATAATTGTTACTTACTAGTATTGTTCATAGTAAAGTAAGTCATGCATGACACCACTTTTCTGACAAATCTAAAAGAAGCAAAATGTCAAGAAATAGGTAATGGTACAGAGGCAAAGGAGATAGAGATGTGGGTGTAAAGGGTACAGTGAAGTAGAATTAGTAAATCTTAAGTCAATATATAACAGAAATATAGTTAATATTGTTTATTAGAAATTTGCTAAATGAGTAGATTTTAGACCGTCTTAACCACACTGCAAAAAAATAATTATGGAAGGTTTGGATACATTAAATTTTTTTATCAAAACATTTTGTATTCCTTAAATATGTATAATAAATGTTTTAAAAAACTTGTTAAATATAATATGATAGGTTTTGACTTTTCTTCATATGCCCTAGTTATTTTAGATTTTACTATTGGGAACTGTTTCTAGCTCTTTTTTTCCTTTTATATAAACCCAACATCTTTGAGCATTTTGTTTTCTGCACAGTAAAGTGACTGAGATTCATTGTGTACTTTAAAGAATTAAACTAAATTAAGTTAAATAATTCAGTTCTCTCAGGACTCTTAGTTTTTTTTATACAGCATAAATACTTAGACTACCTAAGTGTTAACTATGTTCATTGCTGATAGGCACTGCCATTGGACAGCCAGGAAAATAATTTATAAGTTTATATGGATAACTTTACTTTAAATTTAGCATAACATAATTTAAAAATTATTTTTTATTATTATTAGTGGTTTGAGGGAGAGGCCACTTACATGCCATAGTGCTTGTATGGAGATCAGAAGGCAGACCTCTGGAATCAGTTCTGGAATCTGATCTCTGGAATCAGATGTGCATAGTAAATGTTTTTACCCACTGAGTCACTTTGGGAACCCTGATGTGACAGAATTTTGTATTTGGCTAGCTGTAGCATCCTGTGCACACATAATGACCATATTATACTGTTACTAATGATAATTACTGGGAACCTTAAGTAGTGATTTTTAAACTTTGCAGTTCTTTTTGCCCTTAGTATTTTACTGAGGGTGACTGGTCAGAAACTGGGCGTGGCAGCACACACCTGTAATAATTAACACCTAGGGAGCCGAGACAGGAAACTTGTGGGGAGTTTGAAGCCAGCCAGGGCTACATAGCAGAGACCCTGTCTTGTCCCGCGCTACTGTCTCGCCAGCAAGAACGACGCAGGGCACGTAGGATCCTTCTGCAGAACAGCCTTTTAATGCATCTTGAGAGCGAGAGCATAAGCCGACATGGCGGAGACCCAGAGTGAGGCGAACCCAGCCCTTATATAGGAAACAGTCCCCGCCTCGGACGTGTCACTCTCAGATTGGTCAGCTGCCCATCATCCCAGATGACGCCTCGGGAGAGGCAGGGACTACAGCGTTGGAAATTTGCCAACACATGCGCGTTATCCTGTTCACCGCGCAGTGGAACCGGATGTCAGCGCCATCTTGGAATGGCGAATGTGGTTGCGGTCCTCTACACTGTCTGAAATTTTTTTAAAAGCCAGGCAGAGTATCACAGGCCTTTAATTCCAGCAGAGACAGGCGAGTGGATCTCTGTTTGCTCAAGGCTAGTCAGTCTCCAAAGAGTCTCCAAAGGCCAGTTGGGACCATATAATTGGAATTTCCCTCCTCTCTCTCTTTTTTTCTTTCTTATTTATATTTAATTTTTGATATTGTTTTTCTTTTGCAGTGTTAGTGATCTGACTCAAGGCTTCATACGTTTTAGGCAAGCACTCTACACTGCAACCTTGTGTTCAGTTTTTAAATTTAGCTTTAAATTTAATATTGAGAGATTTGCTTTGCTATTCACACAACTTAAAAAGTTAATAGTGTACATGCACTTGACCTGATTTTGGAGTAATTTATCTGCCCTAAAGTAAATCAGGTCATGAAAAACAAGTCGGTAGCAGACCTATTTGCGGCTGTATGGACACGGTATTAT